AAAAAAAAAATGGCGTCACACTATTAAAAAAATCAAATTACAAAATTTAAAAAATAATTACGTCATTAATTATTTAAATTTTAACCAATTATAACGTTTATTATATAGAATACATCAATTACAATAAAGTTGGAAAATATATTACGCCGAACGAACAAATATCGTTAATATTTATTAATATTTAACGTATTTAATACATTTTATTTCATTCGAAGTATTAATATATTAATTAGAAGGTTTAGAATTGTATTATTATTTTTTAATTGGCACATCAGAAGACGAAGAGCAACCTCCCCTGTGATTGGTGGAATGGAGCGACCCGAGCCAAACGAGGTCTGTTAGGCTTAGCGAAGTGTCGTCTGCAACGTCGTTCGCAACAAACGCCGAACAAAATCGCTTATAAATCGCCGAAATTTTTGAATTAAAGAAATGTTCGGTAATGGAGAATAGCGTAAATATAAAAGAAAATATATAATTAATGTAAAAATAACGCAGGTAAGTTAATAAATCTCCTATTTTATATAATTAGGTTTAACCCTTATATATATATGTGTGTGTGTGTATATAAATATAAAAATTAAATCAATCGAAAAATAAAATAAATATATATTTTAATATTTTATTAATTAAAATAATAAAATATATTTTACAAATAAATTAATTATTATTTTTTTATTAATAATGTGAAAAAAAATTAATAAAAAAAAAAACAATTGATATAAAGGGTTTCGTGTGACGTCATTTGCGCTTGTTCTCACGATACATCAAAATTTTTTTGAGATCGCGCGAGATTTTATTTATTATTTTTTTTTAAATTCAAATTTAAATTTTCAAAATTTGTTTTCTTCATTATACGTTAACGCCTACGCTCTGTTTTATAAACCGTATACCGCAATAATGGTATTGTTTGGTGTGTTCGGTCCCATACCCACGTGGCCTTGAGAGGGAAAAACTAAAAATATTTGTAGGTAATGCCGTGAAGCTGAAATCTGATAAGGCATTAAATATTTTCCTAGTAAGAGAAATTGATACTATATATAATACCTGTTTTATCTCGAATTAGTACTATTCGTAGAGTGTTTTGGTTTATAGTTTAGTGGGTTATCCGGTGTTGGTTGTCATCTTAGGAAAAATATGAGGTTTTTTAAGCCGTAGCGAATAGCTAAACACACCTATCTAGCCTACATATTTAAAATTCGAACGACAAAACAGGAAATAAATAAGTAAAAATTTAAATTATATGTACAGTACAGTACAGTACACACAGTATTTAATTCATTCACTCTCTACAAAGACTTTTTTATTCTATTTAATGACACGTTTTTTTGTCCTTTCTGTTTAAATTAAGAAATAATTAATTGATTTATTTAATACAAAAATCCGAAACGAGTGAATACAGTACATAATTAAATTTCAAGAATTCTTCCTTTTTTTTTCTCCGTGCCACATTTGTATTGAAGTAAATAAGATTTTGTTCGAAAACATTTCTACCAAAAACACCGTTTTTTAATTATTCAAAATGCCAGAGAAACGAATGTTTCAACACGCGTAAGATGTTATTTTTTAAACGCGTTAGATTTGTTTAAATCACTCGGTTTTGTTTATTCAGAAACATCTTTTGATTATATGTTTATTTATTTAAATTATGAAATTTCGTCGATGTTAGCTCGTCCAGAAGAATGTTTCGACGGCTTCAAAAGAAAAAAGATGGAGAGGGGAAAAATCGCACGCTGTAGAAAAATACAAGCGGAACAAAATTAACTTACTGAATACCTTTACTTTTGTACATATTGCACTTTCCAACCTGTCCTTACAAGTCAATTCAATGGCATTAATAGACATTTAGAATGATGACATACACACACACATACAGACTCTTCATTTGCTCTTAATCAGATGTTTTCATACGAGTCATCCAACACTGATTAAACAGTAATAAAAAAAGAAAAAAAACTATATATACAGTCAACAACACGCTGACTTGCTTTGAATACATATCCTGAGCGAGTCAGCATTTCCAAAAATGTAAATAAATCATTTGCAATTCATAAGTTATTGTTGCCTTTATAAATTATTAATGATTTTTATTCCTAATTTTTTATTTATTTGTTTGTTTCTTCTCCTCCTTCTTCTGCTCCTCCTCCTCCCTCCTCCTCGTATGGCATCATTATAATCCAATGTAAAATCGTCTTGTGTAAAGATGTTTCCAGTATTTAAAATATTTCAAAGTTTTATTAGCATATTTATAACTTATATTTCGGTTTGATAAACAAATTGGGATGTTTCTCGAATAAATTAAAACACCAAATAGTCTGTTACGAGGAAGAGAAAGGGGAGAGGGGGAAGGAAAAAAACATACTGCGGTGTAATGAGTGTACATGCATCTTTTGTGTTTTGTCTCATTATCAGTAATCCTAGCGAGCTCTTCGCATTTTAATCAATTCCTTTTTGCATATCATACTGCACTTTAACTGAATAGTTGCGTGTCGTGAAAAGAGTATTTTTTTTTTTCTAGGTATTTTATTATGACGGATCTGAACAAAATTCGGAATACGTGTATACAATATATCATCATCTTAACTATATGCAAGTAGTTACAAATAAGTAAAGAATGCTACGTGTGCATAAAGGGTGGCTCAAAAGTCGGTTAACCGTGCTCTTTAAAATTAATTCAATCGTATTTACTCGGTTAATTTGCAGTGTAGTCTTTGTAGTGGTTAATTAACTTTTGGCCACCACCTTTGCATATATATATATACATACGCACACATACTTTTAAGATACGTCTAAAGTAGATGGGAGAATATTAAGTTGTTGAACAAATTTATCTACATCGCGCGAGATTAAAATTAAATATCTATATATCATATCACAGGCCGGCTTTTTAGGCGTTTAAAGTATACCTTTTATGCTTAACAAAACCATAATCGGGACTTTCAAAAGGTATACATATTTGCAAACGTTCCTATTGATAGAGATATTTACACAAAGAATCAATTCATAAGAAATAAGTTAATACCATAATACTAAAATCTCACAGAGGAGTACGAGATCAAAAGTGCTTTATTTCACTCTTGATACTTTCGTGATTTTTCTCCCCCACCCTCCCCATCGTTCTCGCTCGATAATTTTTCATTACATAACAAGTTTTCTATATATATATATATATTTTACATGTACTGTACACTATACGGTAAATTAAATAGGGGGCGAGGAAACGGAAACGTATAGATTATTTTTTAAAATGTCAAACCGTAACGAGGTTTTATAAAGTTTTCGGAAAATTGCCTGTGAGGATTTCTCGCGTGGATACACTCCCAATGACGTAATGGCATTTTCCGGAGTTGATTCGTGCTGTAATGACGAGCGGATATGTCTAATATTGATTATATTTATGATACGACACTTATTTTCTTCTTACGTGTATCTCGCTAGGTCAGGAGATGCAGAAACTAGTATGATTAGTTTTCCCCCCTCCTATAATTTGAAATTCATTCCATACCGGATGAATCTTTCATTGTTTTTTTTTATCTTTCTGTTTAGAATGATGATAATTTATAAATATTTAAAAAAGAAATTGAACCTTTATCATTCACTGCAGAGGATTCTTGTGAGATGTTTTAAGTCTGTTTTTCGAACTTTAAATGAGAAAAACTGAAAAATCGTATTAAAAAGTTCTTCTTTACTATTTAGGAATAAATGGGATTATATATATTTTTTTCCGCATCTAAAGGTTATTATTATCGTTATTATGACAAAATTTCATTTTATTTCTTTATTTTTCTCTTCTCCTCCTCCTGTTTTCTAACTTTGGAAAATTTTCTGTAATGTAAATCTGTCAGAGGCGATAAAAATAAAGACCCTGCATCCGTCATTTTTCCTTTTATTCAACTCTTCTCTCCTTTTTGTTATCGCTTTAATAATAATAAAAAATAAAGACTTTCTTTGAAAAGCAGTCTTAAATGCATTTGTTTTTTTTTATTTATTTATTTCGCTTTTAAAAATTCAAAATTCTTTGTAATTTTAATGCTTTGTTTAGGTCAGTACGCATACATAATTCCAATTCCGAGCCAGAAGAAGTAATAATACTGTTGAAGAAGTACTCTGTTTGCATTCAGTTCCGGATGCAAATACGAACCGAACGAGAGCAGCTATTATCATGTTAAAAAATTAATTTTAAGACTTTCTTTTATATAAAAAAAATAATAATAAATAAAAAGGACATTTTTCGCTTCACAATTCCGAGATATTTATTATTCTAGTAAGGAATGTAACAAGATATTTCGACCGCATTTTTACTTATCAGGCTTTTTACCTACTTTCTCTTTTTCAGGTGAAGATGTGAAAGCACATCTACAGTTATTCTTGGCCAGATCATGACCAAAGCTTACGAGTTTAACTGGAGGCGGCCCGTGCCAAAATTATTACTGAAAGGATGCATATTCGACCGTTGGGAGGAGGTAAGATTAAAACTTTACTTTCCATATTGTGTAATCGTTATACAACGTTTACCGTATTACGCAGATGTACCGGGTGCTTAAAATAGACTTAAGTGGAACAGAAAGGAATCCGAAATACCATTATTGTAGTGGAATGGCGGTTTCGTTTTTCCTACGAACTTAGGCCATTTAGAAATCTAAGCACGGACGTAGGAATTTAAATATAAAAATTGTTCGATGGCGATTAAGTTCGCCACTTTTCCTATATGTATTATCCAGGAAAAAATGAAAAGAACTTGTCTTTTAACTATTCGACGTCCTTGAACTCTGCTCCTCTTAAGCAATACTTCTAGTTTCTTTTTTTTTTTTTATGCCTGAAATTTCAGCATTTAACAATAAATTACGTTTAAGAGTAAGCATGCCGAGCAATTCCTAGAATAAAGTAATATATGCTTAATTTAATTAATTTGAAGCGCTAGCTATGATCAATATGGGGGGTTCGCATCGATTACTATGCAAAGCCGTATAGTCGAGCGTAATCAATCACCCGCACTACTACTGATCGCTATTAATAAATATTATTAAAATTATTGAACATACAAGTTAATTTCACAAAATGCAAGCGTGCTCTACAAGGACGCTTCGTCCTTGAGTGATTGGATTTTTAAAAAAAAAAAGAGAGATTTTTCCTTTTTCAGAAAGTCAACATCATTTTGTTTTTTCTGGCGGTGTAGCTGAGGGTATTATCGAACGAGATAAGGTTCAATCAATCGAATTTTTTGTTTTATTTTCATAAAATATTATCATTGTTTTTTTTATAGGAGACTATAAATTTGCGGGAAATGATGATGATAACATAAAATAAACAAAGGTGTATAAACTCGCATTTGAGTGTACATGTTTTTCGAATTGCTAAACTTAACAAAAAATAAATAAAAATTCCATAATATACAATCGTAAACTGGAAACGAAAAGGGCTGAAAACATCGACGTTTCTCCACGAAACTATATCGTTACTAAATTTAACGATCAAGCTTCAAATTCCGCTTCCATTTCCCCCCCTATTTTATTTTACACAACTGAAATGTAAATTTGTCCCATAACATGCAAATACATCGATATGAATTCTCTCCACGCTTCATAAATTAAGTAGGAAAACGGAAGAAAGCGATAAAGACGCTAGCCATTTAAATTTGCTCGTAAATCGGGGGATGCAAAAATATAATCCGGACGGACGGAACGATGCCATTAACGCCCTTTTAAGGACGGAATCGTATACGCCTCCTAATTTATTATTATTATTATTTTTTTCTTTATGTATAAACATTAATTCATGGTTTATTAATGCTTTTATTCTCCGTTCAAACAATTAATTAACAACCTACAATCCAGTTGTGTTGTTCTGATAAAAGTCGTTTATCACTCGAGTTGACATTACATTTACTAGTTTCAGCGATGGCCGTCGGGTCAATGACGGATGACATTTTCTCGACACGGAAAGATCATTTTTAATGACCAGTTCCCTCCATTTTTATGCCCCAAAAAAAGAAAAAAAAACTACATAAATCGAATCAACAGCGCTTCACTCAAACAAGAATGTACTGTACGCACACATTATAATAATTGAAACTTTATGGATTATTGTTTATTGCCGTAATTTGCTTAATGCGTATCGATTATAGTATATAAAGTTTTTATTATTATATATATTTATTATTATTATTCTATTGCCCTTATCTGGATCTCTGTTTTAGTTTCTTTCCTTGTGAAAGACTTGTATAAAATCATTCTCATCACGCTCTCTGATTTAATTACATTAATTTTGATTAATTGAATTAGTTAACAACTCCATTCACATGCTGATGAGTTTATATTTAAGTACCCAAGGCATGAAATGTTAAACAGATAGGATTTTTCCGTTCTCCATTTTAAGAAAATAAATATTAAAAAAAAAAAGCGCTTAATTATTTAATTCGATTATTTTCCGACCGGCAGACCGATAGTACAATCCATTGATCTTTTTAAAAGTATTAGCTTACATCTTTTCTCTTCCTATTTTTTAAACTCAAGTGGTAAAGATCGAAGAGTCTAAACAAATGTCAAATTCAATTTGTCACCAAAGGATTTACTATCGATAGTCCCAATCTAACTTGACACGTTTTATAAATAAATAAATAAAACGTTTAATCTAAATAAAATGAAAGAGAAACAACGCTTTGTTGATAAATCTGAATGGTCCCCCCTCTTTTTTATGTTGATAGGAAAAGGAGCAAGTGGTTTACGAGCCTAACGCCTTGTTTAAAGTGGACGAATATGGATTTTTTATTTATTGGAAGAGCGAAGGGAGGGTGAGTAATTATTTAAATATATAATTTATCTTTTAGAAAAGAAAAATATCTTCTTGAAGTACTTAAAAATTACATAACGTTGCTTAAATTCATATGGAATGTACGAGTTACTTTATAGGCGCGCCTTCGAGTTTAATCCTAATAATAATTGTAGATTTAGAAGCGAGGATTACGTCGATCTCACTTGATCAATCACGCTACATCGAAGATTCTGTAGGATCCGATATCGAATCCCTAACGATTAAATTTTTCCCGTGGGAGTTGGAGATGTAGCAGTCGTATCTCCGTTTCTGGCTGTCTTTTATTATTCTCCTCTTCGCGAATAATAATAATAATAATGATGATAATTAGTTTAGCGACGCGTTAAATCTGGGATATAAATAAACAGAAAATAGTCGGATTAATTGGGAGGATTTCCGAGCCTCGGGCGACACTCCAAAGTCATTTTTAGATGAAATGGAAAGAAAAATCTGCGCTTTTATAAATCCTTTATCTTTCCTTCTCGGACAGACCGAACTATGGATCGATTTGCAACCTCTTCGATGCGACATGACGTCACGACCGTCTAGTTTCTACAGCCAAGAAGCGTGTTGCTTAAATAAGTAACAGTTTGGATGTACAGTACGGGTTACCCCTTTTTTTGCTTTCACTTACATCTACTCCCTGTATATCTGGCTACTCTCCCTTTTCGTAATAAAGAGAAGTCACGGGATGCGGAGTATGTCTGTGTGTGATAGGAAGCCGACACTCCCTTATTTTTAAATAGAGCGAGCGCAGTATTCGTTATAGAAACTGGATCGTCACTCTCTCCAGTAACATAATTTCCGTAACGAGGTTCCGTACGTTACGCTTCTGCCATAAATTCTTCACGTTTACAATTAACGTCGTTCGGTTAACTTGTTTTGACCCGATTCTTATTTAAAGACCAGAGCTCCAAAGTATACTTTCTTCTTTATATATGATTGATATTTTATCGATTTTTTTTTTTTGTTTCTCCCGTGTTCCCCCGGCACTCGTTTGTTTCGATCTCATAAATGATTCAGTTTACGGATAAAAGGTAAACAGATCATTAAATAACGATAAAAGAGAGAAGGGGGGAGGGAAAACAAAAGTTGATAAAATTTATCGCCGGTTTGAACCATTTTGTTTATATTAATTTGTATAAAAGCGTAATTAAAGGGTTTAATAAATTAATCTAACGTTAATTCGAGCAGCTGGTAACGTTAGCGCTATCAACATCGGTCAGAATTTAATCAGTTTAAGTACCTTTGGTTTTGATCGAAATTGAAAATTATGGATCAATGAGTCGGAAAGCACGGTATGAATAAAAAACGTATATATATATATATATTCTGCTGCATTTTACTTCCATTCGATTTACATCTTGTAAGATCTGGAGGATTAAAATGTATTATTGCTTTAAATAGATTTTGCTCTTATTAATTCAGGGGTCCTTAAGTTGTTTAGATGGAAATCAAGTGCAGAAAATAATCAGTTGTTTTAAAAATAAAATGTGGATGTCTAATAGAATGAGATTGTAGAAATAATTATATTTTTATTTTTAAATTAAGGTGAATTATTATTATTATTTTTATTGCTCTATATTATTAGTAAAGAATTTATATGTAGTATTGAATTTATATACATTATTCATATTTTAATAGTGATTTTAAAAAAAACGTATATCTGATTTAATATAAAAATTAATTGAATATTTAAATACTGTTTTCACTAGACCAAGAAATCAGCAGTAACCTCTTAGTTTACATTTTTTTAAGAGTAAATTTGCATTTTTCTCCTAACTTAAATTAAAAAAAGCTTTGTACCAATAAATTTAACAACAAAACTATGAATTTTTCTAAATGGACGTAGTTTCTGTGTGTTTATTTCTTTGCCAGATAATATTAAAAATTGTCATTTTATATAGGATATAAGTTGAAACTAATTTTAAAGCAGATAAGTGATTTATATATATATATATATATATTTTTTTTTTATAGGTAAATATAACACAGTATGTAGATTAAAATTTAGATATATGGGACATTTCTTATATAAATAGACTATATAAATTTTTTATCAAATAAAATTACATAAAAGAAGAGATTTGAAAGTAGAACTTTTTCATATTTAATTTCAATTAAGTATTTTGATTGAAATTGAATGATATTGATTGATAAATTGTAATGATATGATAGAAATTATTTGCTTAAATAAAAAGTAAAAATATATCTATTTTTATCAAAATGAAAAAAAAGAAGAAACGTTTTATTAAAGCTACAATTAAACTTCAATTTCAAGTGAAGTGATTGTAAGACAAATCGACAAACAATTGATTAGTAGTTATATGGGATTGGGCAAACATGCACTCTAAGTAAGGTCGAAAGAACACAGAAATGGCATTAGACCAGCCAGGATAAACACTGCACTCGACCAAAAACTACTCCTTAAATAAATTCTCGTCGTCTGTTTTAATTATTTGGTGGACGCTTATTATCGATATAATTAAAGACTGTGATACTACTTAACCAAAGAAACGACTAATATAAATATTTGAATTTAGTATTAAATTGTATACAATATTTGGTATTAAAATTTCTTTGAGATTTTAATATGATTCTTTAAGATAATATCTAAATATTTTGTTTTTTATTTTATGTATTCGTAAGATAACCTTTAATTTCTCATAAACTTAATATGAAGTTTCTGTAGAAGCAGCGATGGATTCAAAACAAACAAAATAATGGTAAATTTACTGTTTAAGGAAAAAAAAAATACAAAATGAAATTTTTATATAACGAAGTTGCTAAGTCATTATCAAAACATTTGTAATTAGAAATTTTATTATGCAGAACATCCATGATGTTCTGCATAATAAAATGCATGTCATGTATTAATTTAAATAAAATGTTATGATATGATAGAAACAGTTTAGAAACTTAAAAAAGAAAATAAAAAAAATTTATAAAAGTTTTTTTTTTATAAAATCACAAAGACCTTGAAAAGTAGAAATAATAATTGAAAAAATAATAATGTTTTAAATTTCGGAAATAGCTTTTTACCACTTTATCCCTGATATAAAGATTAATAATAATGGAATGGCCTCATTAGAATCTATATTAAAAATTATTATTATTATTATTATAAAAATTCATTTTTTAAATTATTAACATGGAGAATTTTGTTGGAAATAAATTTAATGTTCTTTTTAACAAAGTTTCAAAAAACAATATTCATGTGAAAAAATCTTTGTCTAGTACTTGAAAATTTTAATCGTCGACAAAGCAGCTGTAACAGTGTACAAAAAAATCTTTAATCATGGCAAACCACAGTACTACTGCTCAGACCTTTAACATGCAGTACAATTTTAATTCTCAAACGTTTTCAGTTGTATTAAACAACCTTCTTCAGAGAAGTGCACGGTGTATCCAGGATTTTGAGAATATGGATACTGCTCAAGGTAGATTCAGAGGGTACCAAGGAATCATCAACTCTTTTTCGGAAAATGTTGCTCATTTACCTTTAGAATTACTTTACTTACCTAACTTTTATACCATTCTCCTTTCATTGGCTTTTTAAATTCTTAAATAAAATTCTTAAATAAGAGATGGATAATTTTGAATTTAAAGATTGATTCTAAATTTTATAAATTACAGCATGATCTGTATTTGGTGTGATTCATAAAGGTGGAATATAAAATATAAAATCATTACATTTCTTATTTTCACTATAAATTACTGGAATGACTTATTTTTAATTTGCATGCAATTATCTTTAGACTCTTCAACATGTTTTTCTAAGAAATATCAATTTTAATATTTCTGCTTTTTTCAGTTTATATAACCATTGAAGTCATGCGATATGCATTATTATATTTATTTTTATTTAAAAGTAATAAAAACTGATTGTTTTTGTATTAAGGGTTTATGCAGCACCATAAGCACCCTTTGGATTTCCTTTGAAATTGGGGGCATATCCTAGTACAATTGTTTATTTTGTAATTTCTATAAATTCAATCTTATTGATTCCTATGTAGCAATGAAATAATTACAAATTACTTCCTTCCAATTGAAATTTCATGTAGATTACTGAAGATTAGACCCATCGCTCAGTCACTAATTTTTATGTCAAGGATAAAGCAGAAAAACAAATTACAGAAATGAAAAATGTTGTTATTTTCTCAATCATAAATTTTAAAATAGAAAGAAAAATTCTGCCGACGACATCAACACAAAATTTTAATGAATAAGCAAAACATATGAACAAAACATGCAAGTACTTTTGGTGATATAAAAGCTCACCATCATCTGGTAAACTGAATACCAAATGGCAAGAGAAAAATTCAACATATCTGAATACAACAAAAATTTTAAAATAAATATAAACTATGACCTAAATTATAATTATTTATAATGCAAAAATGGAATATTAATATTTACACTATAATTAAAAAAGATTAAAATATTTACAATAGCGGGATAAATATAAAAATAAAATAGGAAATAATCAGAAAGTTAGCCAATAAGCAGAAGCTAAGGCGGTATCTAAAGGAATGACATTTAATGTTCAGGCAGTACAAATATAGGACTGTTACATGTTTGATTGTTCATAATGCATACTTTTATATAAATAAATCAATTTCTTGTCACCACAAGGACGAATTAGCTGAATTTCATACCAAAGTGATTCAAAGTAGGCAGTCAATACTGACTTAGCAAGTTCAGTAGTTTGCTTGCTATGTAATATGTTTCTTTAGTGTTTTTTGAGAAGAGATAACATTCTGATAGTCACCCCTATATAATGTTTGAATGCCTGTGTTTGAGGAAAATCTTGTGTACACCTAACCTCTCCAGTGCACATATGGGTCTCTATCATTACAAAATAGTTTCCATAGATTAGGTTGTGGAGTGATAGGGAGAGTGTAATTGTTTGAACTAAAAAAAAATGTATAATTGCTCAAGTAAGGAATTGTTACTTTATTAATATTTAGCAGTTAGAAT